ACATCCTATTTTTCAGTGAAGATGCATCTTCTTTGCATAACGCGTCAGCTTCCTACAACCTTCTCTGGATGAATTGACATGACCACTGAAGTGTGAAGTAGCTGCTCCAACTTGATCCAAACGAGAACACATTAACAATTAGAGGTACTTTGAGCACAAGCTAACACATCAAACTGCAATGCCACATGCCATGCGTTCCTACTGCATCGAAGAGTAAGTGTGCGTCGGAATTTCTTTTTAGCAGGTTACAACTTGCTGTAATTTGTTATTTTGTACAAACTGTCTTTGTCACCAAACTTGGATCAGGTGCAAGAATCCCTACCCTGAGGAAACAGTTTTAAACCAAACACTTCTCAAATCCAGGGTTTCTCCTCACGTCTTCCCACCCAGACTGCCTCTTTCCGAGTATTTCCAACACGTGTGAAAGTCATTTGTAATAAAGATCTTAGACCTGCCGCGAAGACCCAACAAGACCAGCCAGTGTCGTGCAATGCTTTATTAGTAGCGTGTAAATGGGAAGAGAGGATGTGGGCTGGGTGACAATGAAGAGAGCAGGGGAGTGGAGACCAAGTAGCCTGTGGAGATTGTGGAGACGACGGAGAGTGAAGAGATTACCCAGTCAAGCAGGCACTGAAAAGTGATGCAATTTCGTTTCCCTCTGTGCTGATTTGGTATGATTCAGTATCCATATCACGTTATTTTCTCATTCACAATTTTGCATCGGTCAAAAATCTAGTGTTGCGCGCACTATCTCTCATCGTACATCCATATCTTTGTTGTGTCTATAAACCCACTTTGATGGGATCGCCTACTCTGGCGTACTGTGGCCTACTGCTCAAAATGTGTCTTTCCCTCATTGAAGAACAACAGCCCAATTATCTTGCCATACTCCTGTTACCAATTTTGCTCCCTCTACCACATTCTCATCTCGCTGCCAAGCGTTTCTGTTGACGTAAGGCGATGAGACAGAGGACTGATGGATTAAGGATTGGAAATGAACGTCCATCCTTTCACTCATTCCACCTCTATGGAAGTTTGCCTAGTCTACACTCAAACACACACTTGCTGTAATCACTCCTCTCTCCATCCACTTCAGCTCAACTTATAAGTGACGATTTTGGCTCATGTTAGCAATACATGGTCTGGTTAATGGTAAGAAGTCATTCAGCATAAGACTCTATTATAAGAGACTACACACTGCAGCTTAATATTCGCTATATGTGTAAGCCTGGAAGACCCAAACGCCCTGCTCACACACTTAGAGGTGCGCAATCACAGTCGTAGTTGTCATAGCAGGCTGTGTAGCATCGTCGTCATTTACAGATCTGGTTGTGGCAATTCGCCTCATTCCACTCACTCCTAACCCATCTGCATTCAATATTCCGAGCAAAATACAAATGCATTCTCCTTTGAGAACACGTCAACTTATCACAACCCTCTTTCTGATGAATAAATACGACTGCAGAAATGTGAAGCAACTGCAGCAACCTCCTCATAACGCATAAGCGTTAGAGTGTGGAATTGACTTAAGTGCAATTTAACCTATGCTAAAGCGCACTCTCCGCTCATATTCCTTCCTCGCATATTTAAGAATACACTTTTTGTCAGCAACATCACATTACATTCTAACTTGCTTCATTTTGTCGCCTCTCATTCACTGCCTTTGTTAACGGATTTGCAGTGGGTACTGATAATCCAAGTTAGGGAACAAACACCACCTTCATAACCGTTTGTCCCCTACAGATTTCCTCTATCTCTCCTCCTACACACCCTCATTCCTACCACTCTCTTTCAACGAATATGAAGGTCATTCTAACACAATGCTTGCAACTGCCCCACAGGCTCAATGACAATCGCCAGTGTTGTGCTATACTTTATTATTGCCTCACAGATGGAATGAGAGCATTTGAGGTGGGGGGCAGTGAGCGTAGCCAAAGCGCGGAGAATGTGCAGATTGCGAGGAGTGAAGGGGCCACCCAGTCAAGCGAACACTACAACAGAATGGCAAATCATTTCAATTTTACTTCCGACTGTGCTGATTAAGGTAAAGGCAACAATTTCCCAACTGTTTGGCATGATTCAACACATCAGCAATATCCGCATCACACTCTCTCTCGCCTCACCCACAAAATCGCACTGATCTCCTTGTCAGGTATTGGGCACACACTCTCCCACCTTATATCGACATCGGATTTGCTACAACTGTGTTGTCTATGACCCAATTCAAGGTATAGCTGCGATCGTGGCAGTCATCAAGGTGCAAAGAGGAATGCTGCAACCACTTCGAATGTAGCACATTCTACACCAGGATGGAACAGGCAAATCAGCCATCCACAACACCTGCAATCACATAACCACAGTTCTAGTACACATGCAGTGTGCGAGCCTGAGTAGGAACTGGAATATGTGGAATGCCGATAGCCAGCCAATGTTTCGCATGCCATGTACACACACGATTGTATCAAATGCCTCCTCGCTGATTTAGATCTCTGGTGGCAGGCACATAAGATGCATGAATTAGATCAAGTAGTGGGTGGACATGGGAAGCACTGATTAACCACTCATAAGGAAACCTTGACAAATTCTATCACATTAGGTGCTCAAGTTCTCCGTGACACATTTTGTGCAACTAGTTATTTATGCAAGACTTGGTTACCATTGGCATGACCTCATCAATAACCAGATGACCCATGGTAGGATCCTTGACCTCCGGATGAGAATTGGCCCATATGACCCTGATGGGAGTGTCCTATTTTCTCTCCCATCGATTGGTAGTCCCCGTGACCATGCGAGCCCATTTGATCTGATGAGCGATAACTCTTCTCAGCAAGATCGGATGTGGATTTCTTCGCGGCTCCAACAATTAAAGCAAAACAAATTAGGGTTAAAACAGCGGTTCCATAACCGGGGAATACTCGCAGATGATGCTCCGCTGCCATCGTAGTACCTCCACTTCAAGCCTACATATGAGGTAAGAAGGATTAACTAAACTACATTTTCAGGCCCGCCCATCCCCATACACTCCATTCATTCACACCTCTAGTCACACCAACCATCTATGGGAGTAAAGAGGAGGCTCTGCTCTACTCTCTCTGCTAACTGAGAAGTTCATTGAACCGTAAACCAAACCAATAGTAATCCTGATGCCTCTTTTTAAGTGTAGTAAATTGCCAACTGAATTGGCAGCAATAGCTTGGATTTTGTCAGGGTCATGAATCGCTTTAACCCATGTTACAATTTCTCCATTGCTAACCTCACATGCCATAACAGAATCCACAATCAAGCAGTACTGCCAGCACGTCAGCCAGCCCTTCCCAATATTAGTCGTGTGAAATGAATATTCCTTGAAAATCCTACAAAATGTATACACCTGTTCACATGCATATAAGAAGGCATTAGTCGGTGGTCTGCATGTAACACTCATCACACTATTTCCACAGCAATGCTAATTAGATGGAAAAGACTTGGACAAAAACAGGAGAAATCACTGCCAAAATGCACGCTTGACAAAAGTTGAAGCTGAAAATCATGGCTTTGAGAAACAAGAACACTTGTGTTTAAGAGAAGAAACGTACACGACGCGGTCTGGTAACTCGCACGTCCTGTGCAGAGCAAACTACACGGCCTGATGGCAGACTGCCTTTTAATACCTTTCCAACCTGCAGATTTGATCGCTAGATGTGGAGGCTGCGGCGCGTCCATGCAGGCGCCAGCACCAACCCACAGCAACCACAAACACGGTGGTGGCCTTGCAACTCACCACTGAGAATCGCCATTGTCAAGCACATTCTAACAGCTCATTTTGCATCAATTATGTATTCTCCCAAGAGCATACGTCCATCTATCCCCCTCCCTTCCATCTTCCCCACTTGTGTATCACCTCGTGCCTCCAATAACCCATGTTGCATACTTTACCCATACAGTATTCTACTGCCTCATCGTCCCCAACCTACGCACGCCTTCATCACATATAACCCTCAGAATCAGTCCAACCACCATGTAGCGTGGGCACTGCTCATCGTGGCTCTGCGGGTAAGAAGATAAGCACACAAAGAAAATAATCAACAAAATACCATCCAAAACGGCTTGAAATAACTCAATCATTTGGTAAAATTATTGCGAGTGGTTATATTGGAGGTACATGGGAGGTAGGAGGATTTCAGAATTTCAGAGGGGGAAGCTTAATTTAAGGACACAGTGCAGGCAATATGGTCTGTGAAAATTTACACAGTATTACTTCCAACTGCTCCTCACAGACTCTCGTCACTCATCAGCAAGAAGATCAATTTCAGGGCCTCCAGACCAACCTTCAAGAAGCTAGTGCGTATATGCACTGTTTCTAAATGGAAAAGGGAACAATGCAGTATTTGTAGACAGGTTTCCTTAACTCACGTCAACACAGAGTCACTGCCATTAGAGTGGCGTCTCGTCTGTTCTTTCACTCCTCATCCACTCTCCCACCCACTCACTCAGTCATCCACATAAAAACGTGCGCTGACAAGGCACAAGGAAGTACGAGTGTGGCGAGTAAGTCATCCCCAAATGCCTGCACTATTCAGTGGGTATTTGTGTTACAAAATATTCCTACTACAATGGCAATAACTAGCAGGCTGCATTTGCACGATTTCGAGTTAAGGACAATGTAACAACAGAGTACATGACAGACCGAGCAGCATCGTTGCAAATATGAAGGCGGTAGTGATTTACAGGGGAAAAATACATTTCCATCCATTGCACAACACTTACACCCATATTCCAATTCCATTATAAGTCTGCCGTGAAATGACGGCGCATGACAATGAAAAAATGCAGGAGCCCCTGACGGCAGCCACGCTATTCTCCTTATTATGTGTCATCATCTTGCCAACTACCTCTTCAACCACCTTGTGTCTGTGTGTCAGGGATGCCATTATCGCTACAAAGAAGAGTCACAATTTCTCTCATACTAGAACAACGTGGAAACGGACATTCACTCATTCATTTCTATACTCTCTGGCCAGCGCATTCTCGTAAAGCATGACCAACTGTTTAACATACATCCAAGCAGCAGCAACTTAGATCTGATGCGAGATAACCAACTCCACCCTACCTTCCATTGGCTCACCTAGAGGAAAGCCAACTCATTACCACGTCTCACTGTCAACAAATTGATTCTAAGTCCGACAGTCCACTTTCCATTACGGTGAACTGCCACGTGAATCACTCTCACTTGCTTCGTGCGAGTTGTCGATGTTGCCGCAGTGTAGGTGATGAAGGAGAGGCGCTTATTTCAGTAAAGGGGAAGCAATTCCTTGATTTAACTCTTTTCTGGATACCAATGCAGATCATCATCTCACATCATTTTCAAGAGACGAATGCATGCATTGCATTACTCTACTTATCTGATTCTTACTTCAATGTTCAAGTAAACCGTTCAATATCCAAATAGCTACACCGAATTGTGGTGGGGAGCACCGAACCACACACTTTCATTACCTCTGTGATCGCAACCATTATTTCACGAGTTCTACCCACAGCTAGCATGCAGTACTTTGTTGCATTAAGTGGTAACACCCTCTTCCACTCATCACTTCATCCCTTTTTTTATTCATTCATTCTCTCCCTCTTCCATCTCATCTGTCTATCCGCTTACTCACCCATCCATCCACCTATCAATCAGGCCGCTATTGACCCATCTGTCCATTCATTCACGCATTCAATTCTTGTAC